GTATATCAGGATTTCCTGAGATACTTTTGCTTACAATATAATGATAGGAATTTCATTTACAATCCTATAAATATTGCTTTAGGACTTTTTGACTACGGTTACTGAGGATAGTGTAGTGTTATTTTAGTATTATTTATATAATTATAGTATGTATTAATTAGTTATTAATAGTTTTAATTTCAATTTCAGTTTTTAGCAATTTTCTTATGCGCTTTTGACATTTTTTATTTTTTTTATATTTGTATTTAGCTCTTATGAATTTTTATTTCAGTTTTAGTTATTTTGTTATCAGCTTTTGTTATTTTTATGTATGTGTGTGTGTGTATTTAACTTTAATTTATTTTAATTTCAATTTTAGTTTTTGTAATTTAAAGTCCCCATGGAATCAAAATTAAAGTTTTTTTGGGTGTTAGTATCAATATGTTAGTCTTAAGGTTATCTATAAGGCAGTGTGCTCCAAAACAGTGACAAAATTCGCATTTAGAAGATATAAGCATTCAAAGCTTGCAGTTCGTCACTTCCGCCAAAACGGCTCAACGATTCTTTTGACGTCACATCGTACTTCAGCTTCTCATCAAATTTTCTGACCAATCAAATGCTCTCTAGAATCTGAAGCGCCCGCCCCCTACACTATAAAATAGACGCTGAAGCCGTGGCTGAAATCGGTCACTTGTCCACAGAATTAGTATTTTCTGTACAGTGAATGGCACATAGTGCACTATATAGGGGACAGGGAACAATTCAAACAGTGTAAATATGCTTACCATTGAGGAAAAAAAGAAGTCTGGTTTTGCGCTGTGTCACACTAACCACCGCACACACACTCTGCTTCGGTCCAGAGACATGATAGCATGGAGCGGATCACATGCGAGAGTCGCCGCAGACCACAAAATGTATCGGAGCTATTTGAATTCTACACAGGATGCTATATTTTATAGCAATATGGATGAGATTGTGGCTGGCATACCCTGTCAAATGCAGCTTTACGGAGCTGAATGGCTCTGAACGGCTCTAGCCCAAGCTGTGATATAAATGAACACTATTGGCTTTTTTAAAAAGGTCTTCATGTTTCAGTTAAAATGACGTCAACACATAGAGTGACGCTGCGTGTTTCTAAGCATTTCAGAGGACCTTTAAGTATTTCACATTAAATCTAATTTATTTGCCAACTAAACTATTTTTAAAGTTTTTTTTTTCACCTACTAATTGTATTTTATTTTACCTTTTTTTTTTTTAGCTTTTAATTAAGAAAAATTATTTTTAATAGCTTTAGTTCAGAGGTGCACAAACTTTTTAATGTGAAGGGCTAAAAATACTTGATTTAGGGGCGTGGGCCAAAAGTAAATGTTGCACTATATCCAGCTATATTATATTAAAATTTATTACATTTAAAAAAATACAATGGTTAACAAATGTTTTTTCCCTCTTCTTGTGATATTGCATTGCAGGCTAAATCAAATGTCATTATGAGCTAACTTTGGCCCGCGGGCCATGGTTTGGGCATCTCTGCTTTAGTTAACGATAACAACATTGATGATGGCAGGTTTGTTGACCCGTGTCCCACAGGAAGCCGGCGGATTTGCAGGATCTTGCTCCAGGAACCAACCCGCCATTCATGACCTTCAACGGAGAGGTGCTGGTGGACGTCAACAAGATCGAGGAGTTTCTTGAGGAACGACTCGTCCCCCCACAGTACTTTCACTTCACTTGTCATTGTATCACTTCAGATACTTGTTACATTTCTTAAAATAGCTTTATTTACATTTTATATTCAACCCTGGGACATTTTTTAAGATACCCAAAGTTGGCGGCAAAGCATCCAGAATCTAACACAGCAGGAATAGATGTATTTGCCAAGTTTTCTGCCTACATCAAGAACCCTCGTAAAGAAGCTAATGAGGGTGAGTTTTAGACCCTGCTGGTTGTGAAATTAAATTATTTTCTTCTGTAATTCTGTTTTAATTTGGTGTTGCTTATAGGTCTGCAAATAGTTGACTTACTCCCTCATCATCACCATAGTGACCTCTAACTTTGAGCTTTGACCTTTGCATATAGGTCTGGAGAAGGCTCTTCTGAAGTCTCTAAAGAGGTTGGATGAGTATTTGCAGACGCCGCTGCCTGAGGAAATAGATGCAAACAGTGTAGAAGATCCTGGTGCGTCTACACGCAGTTTTTTGGATGGACCAGATCTCACGCTGGCTGACTGCAATCTGCTGCCCAAACTGCACATCATAAAGGTGTGTCTTTCCTTTCCTTCACTTTCCATCTCTCATTCTTTGTCTTTTCCACGCTTTTTGTCTATAAATCTTCCCCTTCCTGAAAGCCCAAGACCTTTTAAAAGATTTTTTAATGTAATTTAATCTATACTAATGAATCAAATTTCATCTGATTTTAATCTGAATGAAACGTTGAATTGAAAAATGTACATAAATACATACATTTGAGAATGTCTTTGTATTTGTAGTGTAACCCTTTTGCTTTATTACTGACAGAACTAAATTTGATTGTCATATTATCTAGCATAACTAATAGTGTAGAATCTAAAATACTTGTATTCATTGTTTACTGAATTTACATAATAACATTATTTTTATGTATTTTGATTTTTCCCTGTTTGAATTATGTATTTTTCTATGTTTGAATGATTCAAATATTAAACTATTATATATAAAATATGTGGCCTCAAACTGTTATAATTAACTAAAACTTAAATTTTAACTAAAATTAATACCATTAAAAATACCATTTGAAATGCATGAAATAAAATAAAGGTTAACTGAAATTAAAATATAATACTGTTTATTTCAGCTAGTTTACAAGACAGCATGTATTATTTTATTTAATATAACATACCAAAATAACTAAAACTGAAATTAAAATTAATAAGAAATACACTGACAAAAACACAGCAAAATTACTAGCTAACTTTAGCTGAAATGAAAATGGAAAATATAAAAATAAAAACTGATTCAAAATGAAAAAAAAAATTATACTAAAAAAACACTCAGATTATCTCTCTATATATGACGTTTTTTATCAATAATATATTTAATACTTATGTAATTAATATAAAAAAATAATTAATGAATAATAATATAAATATTAATTTTAAATGAATATACATTTTTACACACACACACACACACACACACACACACATATACATATCTTCTTTTTTTTTTTTGCATGCTCAAATGCACAAGTTAAAATGCATATGCTGGATTTTAAATTACCAACCAGTTTTACCAGCTCAATACTCTGTGTTGTAGATTGTTGCCAGGAAGTACAGAGGTTTTGAGATTCCTGCTGATATGACCAGGATTTGGCGGTATTTGAATAACGCCTACCAGAGAGAGGAGTTCATGAACACCTGCCCTGCTGAGCGCGAGATCGAGTTTGCTTATCTGGACGTCGCCAAAAAGATCAAATAGTTCAGGATTATGTTAGCTCAGAGCACTATCACATGCTTGTGTGTGTGTCGTATATATGTGTGTGCGCTCACTGGTGGAGATGCACTAATACTGTGGTATATTGATCCTGAATCAGTAGATTGACACCCATTTTCTTTCAATTAATGGCAGGACCAGGAAAAAAAACTGTTACTCTTAACAACTTTGTAAGTATCTATCCATCTCCATGAATGATATAGATAGACTACTGTAGATATGGTATATTCATAATGTTCACCAAGGCCTTGACCAAATCTCATAATCACTTTTAAGCTATGGATCTCTATATTTCTGGATCTCTATTTTTTGCATTTTTACTTATGATTCTTCTGGTCAGGCCAGTATATTTACATTTCCTATTCACAATTTATATATATATATCATGTTTATTTTACAATATGTTTAATGAAACCATCCTTTTGTATCATCACATGAGGCTATTTTCCACACGTTTACTAATTACATTTCTAGGTCATTGTTTTTATCTTTTGTCTAGGATGCTTCTTCATTTATATTTGATAGTTTTTTTATATCTATGCACAGAACTTGTTAAAATGTGCTATTTATGCAACTATGTAACCTTGCATGAACGCCTTATGAAGCTCTGATGGGACTTTAATTAAACTAATCAGATTTCATCATTGTCTTTATCGTTTTTTAATTTCCTATTCCCATCATGAACGAGGGTTGTGTGAAGAACGACATTTTGATATGCAAGTCATTGATGGTGGTTTGACATGTTCTCTTGTATTTTTTAGGGTCTCATTAAACGTCCCCCAAGCAACAGCAGCTCTTTGAGCAATCAGATCAATTTAGAAGGCATAACAGCAAAAGCCTGTCTTTCTAGTCGACTTGCTAACTCATCATCACCATAGTGACCTCCAGAGGCGGACAAAGTACTCAACTCTATTACTTAAGTGAAAGTACAGATACTGCTGGTCAAATATTATTCCATTACAAGTAAAAGTTGTAAAGGCAGATTTTTACTTAAGTAAAAGTACAGAAGTACTTGCTTTTAAAAGTAATTAAGTACCAAAAGTAAATTTCCTTTTTAATGTCAATGCACTGTTTTATTGTTGTACGTA